ACAAAAACAGACTCATAGATACAGAGAACATTTTGAGGATTGCCAGATGGGAGACAGGTTGGGGCGATGGGTGAAAAAGGTAAAGGGATTAAGAAGTACAAATTGGTTGTTACGGAATAGCCATGGGGATGTAAAGTACGGCATAGGAAATCTATAGTCAATACTCTAATAACTATGTATGGTGTCAGATGGGTATGAGATTTATTGAGATGATCACTTTGTTACATAATGTCTAGTCACTGGGGTATACACCTCAAACTAATAAAATATTTTATGTCCACTGTAATTAAAAAATAAAAAAATGACAAATAAATTTTAAAAAAGAAAATTATAACCTTTCAAAATAAAAACATAAGCTTAACTTTTGTTCTTAAAAATTAAATGGTAAATTACTGCACTCCTATCTCTACAGTATAGTAGGCATGACAGATAGAAGGACATTAAAATTTTTTAGTATTTTGCCTCACATTGGGGTCTTTTTAGCATTTCCTACTGGTGGGCAGACACATTACAGAACTAAGAAAGAAAACAGAAGCAAGAAAAATCAGGTCACTTAGTTTCTACATACACTTTTTTTCAACTCGTGAAAGTTCTTTTGCCACTTCATTTTAAATGAGATTAGTTCTGTTGCCAGAAAATTCTTTGCATTGAATATTTTACTATCTCCTGATGAGAAAATGTAGAGTTTTTCCAACTCTTAAATAAAGCTTTACAACATCCTGGAGAGTAGAAGGGAGCTTGCGGCATCCGTGGAGCACCCTTGGCTCCAGCAGTAATAAAACGCCGAGTAGGCAGGTCTTTGTTTTTATAGGCAATGACTCAGGCTAAGCACACAGATGTTCACATATTTTATGACTCTTAGCTTCTGCTTTCTTTCATGTTCTTCTCTAATTTTCTTCGTTTCCACAAGCCACAGACCATGACTTTCTCTTCCAAGGCCACTTCATTTTTGAATGGAAAAATGCATCTGCATGCCGGGACTGTTGTGTCTCAGTTGGGCATTGTCCCACAAAGTGAAAGGTTGCTTGTTTGATTCCCAGTTGGGGCAGATGCCTGGGTTGCAGGTTCGGTCGCACTTTGCGGTGCATGTGGGAAGCTACTGATTCATGTTTCTCTCTCATATTGGATAAACCCCCATCCCCCAAAATGAATGAATGAATGAATGAATGAGATCTTTTTTTTAAGCCCTGACTAGTGTGGCTCAGTGGGTTGGGCATTGCTCCACAGACTAAGAGGTCACCAGTTCAATTCCCACTCAGGGCACATACCTGGGTTGTGGGCTAGGTCCCTGATTGGGGGCATGCAGAGGCAACCAAGGGATGTTTCTCTCCCTCTCTTTCTCCCTCCCTTCCCTTCTCTATAAAAAATAAAAATAAAGAAAATGTGCACTTGAGCAGGTGTGTAAGAAAAGAAAAAAGAAAAATATGTGCGCACAAGCAGGTGTGTATAGTGTATGCATGTCCCTCCCTTCTCCCACCTCCTTTCCATCCACAGTAAAAGAAAATGAAGTCTTTCTTGTGAAGTCTTCTTTGATTCTTTCTCATAAACTTAGGTGTTGCTTCTCCTTTGTTCTCTTTGAATTTTAACACTTACTGTGTAGCAATTGTGTATATGTATACCACGTAGTTAAATGATGAGTTCCTTGAAGGTTACTGGTATGTCTTATTTCCCTCTGAATCCCTAGTACCAAGCCTTGAACACAATAGATGCTTAGTAAATGTGAGTGGATGAGTGGGTCAGTGAGGGAGTGAATGAATTGGAGACCAGCTTGAGAAAATGGATCCTTTATTAATGACCCGTATCTCCACCTCAGATTATTCATGAGGATCTATTGAAGGTCTTGAGTGTGAGCCTGAGCTTGATTATCTTGTGGGTCATAAATGGGTCTTGTGGGGGGGGGAGATTTCTTGATTCTCCCAGGATTCTCTTGTAGACAGCTGTTCTACAGGAATTATTTGTGATCCTTAAAACTAGTATCCCTTATTACTTGTTGGTCATCTGGTTAAATAGATGGTTTCTATCCTCTCTCTCTCTCTTTTTCCCCCCAATATTTTCAACAATATGAATTATATCTTTATTGGCCAGACCTTCTGCTCAGCCTTGAAGGTCCAGTGGTGAACAAAACAGTTCCTGTCTTCATAGAGCTTATATGTGATATGTTAGGTACTGATGAATGCTATATATTGAATCAGGGTAACAGGATAAAAGTGATATGCCTAAAGTGTAGCTTTATCCATTGCACATTACAAAAAAAGCCTGTCATCATAGTATGACCTCAAATATGTAATGAAAAAGAATATCAGGATATAAAGCTGTTACGGAAGTATCCTAAAATATTGGTACAGGCTATTTCTGGAAATGATATTATAGATGACTTTTTTTAATTATGCTTTTATGTATTTTTCCAGAGTGTTCATTAACTTTAGCCTCGGGGAGAAGAGGGTGTTAGTGAGGTCACTTTTGCATTTGAAGCCTGATTCTGCCTGCCCATAGCTCCGGTGCGGTGCGCATCAGTAGGAAGTAAGCCTCCTGCTGAGTTCCTCTGCAAGTGTTGTTTGCGAGATTCCTCAGCGGGTGTCTCACACATGATCTAAACAAGTTTGCACTCAGTGACTCCTTCCAGTTTCTGAGGAGGCCTCTGCTTCGTATCAGTCATGATCAGTATCTGAGAAAGTTCTAGAAGTCTTACTAATTCCCCAATTTGAGCAAAAATACATTGTCATTCTTTCAGGATACATTTCTCAGTGTTTGGACCAGTGCTGAATGGGTCATTTACTTTGATGAAGAAATTGTAGAAAAACTCTAGTAAGTTACAGTAGCACATGCTTCATACATAAATGTCATGTTTTTTGTTCATTTTTTCCCATAGTGTATACTTTACAAAATTTCAGCCAAACATGACCTACCTTAGCACTGTTGCCACACATGTGTTATGACTTCTTGTAAAAGCTCTGGGACAGTAGCAGAGGAAAAGCAAGAAGCAGGTTTCTCGGTCCCTCCAGTAAAATGAGCCCAACTCCATTTCCCTCATCACCCGCCTACCAATCAGGAGAGTGTCTGTGCCCTGATTGTACACCCTGATTATACCTCAGCTGCTGTGGTATCAAGAATAACAGGAAGAGGGGGAGAAAGAAGGGAAAGCCTGAAACAGCACCCATGACTAGGCTGGGCCCCAGGCTATCGGACTCAGCAGATATGTAATAATAATAAAGCATCTTTCATACTTAAAGCTGTAGGATTTCCTGTAGCTCTGGACTTTCCACATCCTCTTCAGGCTCTGAGTTGTTACGTATCCCTGGAGGACTGATGTCTGTGCTTCTACCCACCTCTCTGTACTTCCTCCACCCCAGGACTGTCTTTGTGACAAAGCAAACAAAAAATAATACGCAAGGATGGGCAAAAGTAGGTTTACAGTAGTAATACAAATAATACACGAATAAACCTGTTTCATGTACTTACCACTGTAAACCCACTTTTGCCTACCCCTCTCTTCTGTTTATGTCCATGGTATACTCATTTTTAGGGTAAAAGCACACTGTACACATTTAAATGGTGGGTGGGCACACCGTTGTTCTAGAATGAATTTGATGTAAAGGTAAAGAGCTGAGGAAGGACAAGGAAACTTTCTGCACCTCTTAGCTTGCTCCCTCTTACCCTCTGTTTTGCAGGTCTCTTCCCCCCGCCCGCCCCTCCGCCCTGCACCTTTCTTTCTTTGTACTTTCTTATATCAAGCAGCAATTCCTATAAACATTCTTCGACTTTATGGTAGAATTTATGCCTGAACAGGTGAAACCTGTCTCAAAGTAGATCAGTTCATTCCTTCCAGAAATGTTAGTCCCTGTGGTAAGTGCACTGTAATGGAACAGGTCATTTCTCATGCCTGTGGAGCACAAGTTAAATCATTACTTTTGCAATTACTGTGCCTTCTGCCTGGAATAGCTTGCTTTCTCCCACCTTCATCTATTTGGCAGATTCCATCACTTTTTTAAAAGGTCTAGCTCAAATGTAGTAGCTTCTATGATACTTTTCCTAATTCTCCTAGACAGTTGTTGACTCCTACAACAGGTTTTTCATATCTCAGATAGCTCATTTAAGATTGTTTTATTATGGTTTCTTTACATGTTTCTAACTAGACTGCAAGCTTCCCAGGGGTAGGAACTGCATTTTCTTATTTTCCTGGATTTGCTATATGGTCAACATGGTTTTTGGCCATTCATTTTTCATTGGCTGAGCCTTACTCCCTGTTTTTAAGGACCTTACAATTTAGTAAGGGTGCCCTGGCCAGGTGCTCAGTTGGTTGGGGCATCGTCCTGTAAACCAAAGGGTTATGGGTTTGATCCCCGGTCGGGGTGCAAATGGAGGCAACTGATTGATGTTTCTCTCTCATCTCTCTCTCTTCCTCCCTCCTGCCCTCTCTCTGTAAAATCAATGAAGAAATCCTCAAGTGAGGATTTTTTTTTAAAAAACCTAGTAAGGGTGATAGGTCAGTCATAGATAACTATAGTACAAACTAGAATGCAGTCAGCCACAAAGAAGGAATAAATCACTTCTTGCTCTGGGAATTAGAGGTGAAATTGCCTACATTATTTCAAGCCTGTGGATTAAGTAGCATTCAGAATGGACCTTGCAGGATGAGGGTGAAAATGTGGAATTAATGGAGTCCAGCTTTTTTTACTTCTTGATGTCTTTATTAGGAATATTTAAAGTGCATGGGAACTATATTATGTGACATTCATTCCAGTGTTGAATGCTTTACCTAGAGTTAGTTTACCTGTTTTTTTAAAATCCTAAGTCATTTACCAGTTGATTTATACAAAGGAATATATCTATCTTGTAGGGATATCAATGTGCTCACTGTCTTTGCGGACTTAAGTCAGAAATTCAGGGCTAATATTTGGAATTAGATCATTTTCATCTGTCTGAAATGTTACCAAAGAAAAGAGGATGTGAAATGTGATGTCTTTCTGTCTTATTATATTGATATTCTTTATTCATTTTAGCCACAGACCCCTTTGCTTCTGTTTTTGGAAATGAATCGTTTGAAGATGGATTTGCTGACTTCAGCACATTGTCAAAGGTAATCTGAAGTGATTAGTGGGTAACTAAAGTATGTTATGTTTCTACCAAAAGAGCAGTCCTTCCTTTCTATTATTTAACCCTCTTGCAGACATTGCTACTTCATTTCAATAAATCACAGCTAATGTTGATTTCAGACAGAGATGAAAGGTAAGATATAATTAAAAGTAGATGTTTTTATATTAATAAAGACAGTGGTGAGGCTACAGGTAATTATAGTGTCCTAATGACAAATTTGCTCAACAACTTCGTTTTTAAGAGTCTTCTGTCTTTTTAAACATGTTTCTTCCAATTGAACTACATTTTTCTCCTCTTCATTGTCTGGGTCAGTAGTTGTATAATCTGGGTATTCATTCCATCCTCTCTGCATTGGTTAATGGAGGGTTTTTTTGTGTGTTTGTTTTTTTGTTCTGAGGCTGTCGCAGTTATATTAAGATAATTTATACACATAGTCCAGTACTTAGGACTGATTGAAGCCAAAAGAGTAAAATTAGAGTCAGATTGTCTGTGTCATTGTTCCTCAGCTGGGTGTTATTTCCCACCTCTCCCTACCCCCAGGAGACATTTGGAAATGTCTGAAGATATTTTTGGTTGTCACAGCCAGGGAGGGGACTATTTATATTTAGTGGATAGAGAACAGCGATGCTGTTAAACATCTTACAAATGCCCTGTCTAGTCCCCCGACTCCACAGCATAGTATTATGGCCAGCCCAAAATGTCACTAGTGTTCCTGTATAAAAACACTGGCCTAAGTGGATCTAAAGTCATACCATCTGATTCATTATTCAAAAGTGAATCATTCATTACTCCATGTATTAGAAAGACAGGGTTCTCAGACTCACATTAAGACTCAAATTATGATTCCATGGGCTCCCTTTGCTTTAAAAAACTAGCTTTCAGGTTGTCTTTAATGCCATTTTTAGAAGGGGGGCATTTGTTAAATCTTGCTTGTATTTAAGTATACTTTGGGAAGTGTGAAATTTTTTTTTAAATCATTTGCATCGGATACTCATTTGAGGGAAGATATGTAGTCTGTTTAAAATGACTTCAGGTGGTTTTGTATTGCCTGAAACTTGACAAACTGTTAATCCATAGTTGGCTTGTTTTTTGCTGTGATCTGTTGCTCTTAATAAATAGTGATGTTATAATTACTACTCATTAAGAACAACTCAAAAAATTCTTCCTTTGGCCCTGAAAGCAAAGTCAGTGCTCTCAGAATTGAAATAAATAAAGCTGCATAATACTGAAGACCATTCTTCAAATGCTACATGACCACATACAGTTTGGTTGGTATAATACATGTAACCGTGTATAAACATTTCTTTTCAAACAAAGGTCAACAATGAAGATCCTTTTAGTTCAGCTACATCGAGCTCTGCCAGCAATGTGGTTGTTACAAAAAATATGCTGGAGGAAGCACCAGTCAAAAATGAAGATGTACCCCCTGCACTGCCACCAAAGATCGGAACTCCAACAAGACCTTGCCCACTGCCACCTGGTATGAAAGATGGTACCTTTCCTAAATCAACAAGATCTTTTCCTTTTCTTAAAGTGTCATTTGGGCCTTAATTACCTAAAGAGCCTTAAACAAAACAAATCAAAAAACATGGCAGGTGCCTGCTGCTGTCCTCTGTTCTGACCCCAACACAGAATGACAGGCATGTGCCTAAGGGGCCAGCCTGTGTACCTGTAAGGAACTACTTTTCTGGCACAAATGAATTTCTTTTTAAATCATTTTAGAGAGACAGTAAATGGAAAAAGGAAAGTACTAATGAAGTCTCTTGGTTTTTTTGGAAGTTCATCGATTACCATTTGAACAATAGTTTCCCACACTTGGGTGTTTAATTTCTATAAGAGAAGATTAGTTTGGAAGTCCCATTCTTTTTGTGGTAAATGTGAAGTCTTAAATTCTTTAATGTGAGAATATATGGCTTTTTGGTATCCAGAATTTAGCAATATAGTGATTTGAAAAGGAAGTATTGTTTTTCTTGAAGAAAAGCATTACCTTACATAATAAAGACTCCTGCCCTGGCTGGTGTGGCTCAGTGCATTGAGCAATACCTGTGAACCAAAGGGTCTCCAATTCGTTCCCAGTCAGGGCACATGCCTGGGTTGCAGACCAGGTCCCCAGTTGGGGGTGGGAGAGGCAACCACACATTGAAGTTTCTCTTCCTCTCTATTTCCCTCTGTTCCTCTCTCTCTAAAAATAAATAAATAAAATCTTTTTTTAAAAAGACTCCTTTTTTTTTTAATAAAATGATATTTTGGGCGTCCAGGAACAAATTCTTAAAGTTGTTTTTTTTTTTTTTAATCTTTAGCACTATACCAAGAAAAAGGGTTGGAGGGTGTTTTTTAATGAAGATAATAAAGTTCATTGGAAGTGGCAAAAAAGGCCAGTCCCCTGAGTAGGTGTAGTGCTACTAGGTTGAGAAGCACTATGAGAAGACACATCTGGACGTTGTAATTTTTTTAAGCTCTTATTTATTTTTAGAGAAAGGGGAAGGGAGAGAGAGAGGAGGAGAAACATCAATTGAGATACATCTTGCCACTCGCATGCCCCCTCCTGGGGACCTGGCCTGCAACCCAGGCATGTGCCCCATCTGGGAATCGAACTGATGACCCTTCAGTTCCCAAGCTGGCACTCAACCCACTGAGCCATACCAGCCAGGCTGTTCTTTTAATCATATGTCATTCCCTGGGAAATTTTCAGACACAGTAGCTATAGATTACTCTTTTGTTTTTTATCATAATAACCTCCCTATGGTATTTCTTGGGAAGATTAATTTTTCTTCCTTGATTTAAAGGAATTGCATACATAATTGTTAATACTCAATTATCTGTTGAAAGATCAGGTAAACACTTTAAAGTCATTTCTATCTTTTAAGGAAAAGTAGCCTATATTATATATTGCCAGAGGGTAAGGTTGTCAGACTATATGAAACAAGTATGAGTCAATTTGTTCATTTAATTTTTAGATCTGTATGATGCCAAAAGTGAAGTTATTTTTTAAGTCCTAAGTAAAATAATACACTAGTGTTTTAACTAAATGGTGTCTGCAGCATAGTGAGTGTCTATTGCTATAGAAAGATCAAAGAAAAGATGGTTTGTTGGAGAGAGTACTGGACTGGAAACTTAAGGGTTTGGGTTCTAATTCTGGATATGCTCTGACTGGCTCCATGATCTTGAGTGTGTAGTTTTGGAGCCTTACTGTCTGAGATGTTAGATGGTGGCTGTGATTCTAATTCTGCCTTCCTTCAAGTACTCTCGGGAGGATCCACTAAGATACGAAATATGAACATCTTTTGTAAGCTGTTGCAGTGATGGAAAGATTCTTTTGATTCGATTGCTATCACCATTTAACACATTTTAGGAAAAATACATATTCGAAGATATTTTAACATCTATTCTTATTTTTCTTCAAAAAGTACTAAGTTTAGGACTTTAAAATTTGAGAACTTGTTTGAAAATGATGGTGAATTAATGAGCAACAATATGCTGTTGTTTGGTCAGAGTTTATGAGCAGCAATATGCTGTTGTTTGGTTAGAGTTTATCAGCAAACACAAAGATTTTAGGCCCTATGCATCAAAATATTCTCTTTATTCCTCAGTAATACATTGTAGATGGCAAAAAGTGGGTGGGGTTTGCCAAAGTAAATTTTAATTTCATGGTTCCCAACTGTGGCATATAGATCCAGAGAAAAAAAATCAGAGGAATATTAACATTTTTCAAAGGTCATTTGCTCTTACTGCCAGTAGTGAATAACTGTATCAGGCTGAGGTTTTAATAGCAGAGGCATTGCTGTCTTTATTCTTTGTCATTCTGTTATATTCTTTCTTTTCTCTCTTCTTGGAGAAATGCTGTTTTGGGGAAGAAAAGGTTTACTCTCTTGGCAAAAATAGGATTTCTGGCCCATTCCTTTCCCGTTTGCTGTTTTTTAATTTGCCTACATGGAGCTGGAATGTAGTTGAGAGGTTGCATGTGAAAAATTTGAGGTTAGGCTATTGGTGTGGCCATTTAAAACCATATGGAGAATGTGTTTTAGACACTCACCCCTACTCCCATCTCCAGTTCTTTAATGCTCCCTGTGTTCATGTTCTTGTGTGTTTGTGTTTGCCGTATTTGCTGGTTAATTGTAATGATTTTGATCCAGGAAAAAGACCTATCAACAAATTGGATTCTTCCGATCCCTTTAAACTGAATGATCCATTTCAGCCTTTCCCAGTCAATGATAGCCCCAAAGAAAAAGATCCTGATATGTTTTGCGATCCATTTACTTCTACTACTACTACCACTACCAATAAAGAGGCTGACCCAAGCAATTTTGCTAACTTCAGTGCTGTAAGTACTGTGAATGGGCTGTTTGGGGGAGAATCTTTCCATTTACAGTTTGAAGGGTTTTCAAAGATTACTTTGGAGTCTGCCAAATTTACATCATTTCAACTAAATTTACCAACATACTAAAAATGGTCTTCCCCCAACCAAAACCTCTGTTTGCTTCTGTTTTAATGGTTCTAAAATTATTCCTTTGCACAAATGATTTTAGTAGTCTTATTTCTTGTGATATATACCAGTTGTTTTGTAAACCTTTCTCTTCATCTTGGTAAACAACATAAGTAAAATCTCTATAGTTACTGTTTTGATTTTGCAGTGTTATGGATGATGGGCCATTAGGCAGTCGTTTGCTGTCTGCCCACTGAATGAATAATGCCAGTAATGATCTTGTGCATTTGTTATTGCGTATGTGTGTTTGTGTATAAAGCTTTGTAGATTTCTGAAGACTAGTGAACAACTATTGCATGACAGGATAGGGCCAGGAATTCTGAATAGAAAGTAACACTCTGGTTTTATATAGTACTGTTTTTTAACGTGAATGTCATTTTTATGAAATAAATACAGTCGTCAAGAGTTAAACAAATCTTTAATCATTTGGAGGGCTCTAATTCACTGGCCTCCCATATTTACTTGGAATTCTCCCAGAGCTGACCAAAATAGGTAGACCAGTTAAACAAATGGAAGGATAATGTGATAATGACACAGGCAGGGCCTGTAATATCACACAAGTGAGAGAACCAACTATGGACGTATCACTCTGGAGGGACATAAAGCAATGACACATTCCGCCATTATTTGATTAAAAAAACAAGGCCTTTTTAAAAATAAAATTCTTAGAGTAGCTAACAAAGTTTCTTTTTCCAGATTTTTTTCCCCACTAATAATGACTCTCATTATCACTGCTTATTCTATAACAAAAGAATTTTCCTCTACTTACCACCTAAAGCCCTTGATGATTTTGGAAGTAGGAGATCTAGTGGCCAGGTAACCCCGGGCCAAAATCTGCTTTGGTTCTCCTTCCGTGTTGCCTTGGGTCACCCAGCCAGTCACTTTAGCCCAGCAGCCATTTCTAGTGAGAAAGGAATAGTCAAGGAATCTGCATACAGCCAAGGCCAATGAATTAAACTGAGCTACCAAGATTTTGAATTTGTACTCTAGGTACCACTGACTTCTTCTGAATATGAAGGAGCAGAATAGGAATCAGTATCTTGATTATTAGAAAATGGAATGTGAGAATTTACTGACTTCAGTTTTGTTACATGGGATTTGATTTGTTTCCAGCATAGAATCCAGAATTGCTTAAGAGATTTTAATCCCTTTAATGTAAAGAAACCTGCTGGCAGTTTGTGGCATTTAATACATTAAATATTATTTCAGCAAGTTAAAACCTGTTTGGAATGAGCCTTGACCAATAGCTGAGGCATTTTGCTTATTTTCTGCTCCAGAATCTCAATATAGTATAATATAAAGCAGCTCATAAAAATGTCTTCTGCCTTGGCTGCTGTGGCTTAGTGGATTGAGTGCTGGCCTGTGAACCAAAGGGTCACCAGTTCGATTCCCAGCCTAGGGCACACCGGAATTTCCAGCCAGGTCCCCAGTAGGGGGTGTGCAAGAGGAAGCCACTCATTGATGTTTCTCCCTTTCCCTTCCCCTCTCTAAAAATGAACAAAATCTTAAAAATGTCTTTTTCCATTATCAAAGATTTGTTAAGTTAAACATTTAAAAGTCCCTCTAACTCCTTAGGAAAAAGCTATCATTTTTTTTAAAAACCTGGCAGTTTCTTTCATTTCAGTCTGTTGTGATATTCATCTTATTATGGTATTCCTATATATGACAGTACTTAAAGCAAGTCGAATTTTTTTTATTTAGTATCTGCCAAGATTGCTGTTTTGGGGTAAAAATATATCCCTGACCTAATAACTAGTGTTAATGTCTGACTGGGTCAAAAAGTTCTCAGAGACTGCCAACATCTTTATAATGTATTATTAAAAAAAAAAGAAAAAAGAAAAAAAAAAGGATTTCATCCATACCTTGTTTAGTATACTTAGTACTCCTATTGTACATATAGCAAAATCATCATATTCTTTGCTTTATAGTTTTTCTGTGCAGGAAGGTTAGGATACGGTAGGGAGTCACCAGTGGGATTAAGTTGAAAATGATTTATCATGTGAGGATGCTCACCGAAGTTGAAGTAGTAGGTGTTTTGTATTAGGCAAAAAGGCTGGCCGCTCCTGTTTTTAGAACTACTAACTCACTGTAAACATACACTTTTAAAAATGATGTTTTAATGTTTAGTTTTATAAACTGGCTGTAAACTGCAATAATTTTTAAAACAAAACTGTATTTAGTAACTGGTAAAACTAAAGGCGCTTTCAGAAAAAAAATTCAACAAGTAACAAGACTATTTCTAGAGTCCTTCAGGTGAAACAAGTAGCTAATGCCTTTTGTAAAAACTATTTTTCCTTCTTTTCTTTTTATTTGTTTTACTCATTAATCTATTCATTTGTTTATTCCTTTGTCTTTTACATGGTAGTATCCCTCTGAAGAAGACATGATTGAATGGGCCAAGAGGGAAAGCGAGAGAGAGGAAGAGCAGAGGCTTGCCAGACTGACTCAGCAAGAGCAAGAAGACTTAGAACTGGCAATTGCACTCAGCAAATCTGAGATTTCAGAAGCATGAAGAATTCTCCTCTCCTTTGTCAACCATGTAATGCTCTTCTTCTTGAATGCTGAAGCTATTTACAGTGTATATCAAAACTACCATAAGCATGGGGATACAAAAGGTTTGAGGTTCCTGTAAATGTGACAAAAGTTTGTTTTTTTAAAAAAATTCATTTCAGATTTGTCTTCCCCCACCCCTTCCCCGTAAAAGCAGTAGCCGAGTCAGACAGCTTCACCTACGTCCCTGTTCTGGTGTGCATTTACTGTGAGCTTTTGCCTGCCTCTGCTACTTCTACGTGTTAAAACCAGAGCACCCAAGCTTCTGCTTTCTGGAATATAGAAAAATAGCTTCACCCCTGTGCTACCCTTGTTCTCTAGTTACTCTGCTGATAGCCAGTGGGGTCCTTAAAAGTTACAGTATTCTCTCCTGATTTGGATGGATGAGGGAGGAGAAGGGATAGACCATCCTATTTCTTTTATGATAGTAAAGATTAACTAAAGTGCGTGTTTGTATTTCCATAGAATCAAAAAACTGTTTTTTTAATAGACAAGGAAAAATATTTTGCATAAAGTGACTCCATTATTGAAAAAGGGATGCTTTAGATTGAACCATTACAGCTTCAGACTGAATTTAAAGAATTTTAGATAAACAGATACCTCTCCAGAATTTTAAGTGCTAGACAATGGAGAAAATTTATCCCCTAGAATATACCCATCAGCACAAGGTGAGCAAACATCAGAGTGTGGCAGTTGTTCTGCCTTTGCTGTGGCACTGTCCTCGGCGGTTCGTGGTAGGTTATTTTTGTACTTTTGCAGAAGAGACTTTAGCAGGCTAGAACTGGAAGGTACTTTAATTTTTTGTATATATATTTTTGTTTTCTTTAATGAAGGCTCAGTTACTTGAAATGTAAAACTTCACTGAATACAAATGAAAAAAGTAACATGTATTAAATCATACTGCTTTTTGTACATCTTTGTGGTTTAAAATAGTTTATTCTCTTCATGTTTTTTGCCTATGAAATCGGCAGTCTGGCTAAAAAAAATCTTGTTTTTTTAATAATTGGGAGATAAGAGACCTGCCAAATTATTAAAACTCTTCATGTGTTAAAAGCCTATCTTCTGTAAAACTGACCTAGCAGACAAGCTGAATTTGAAATAGGCTGTAAGGTGTAATCTTAATATTTTTTAACATCAGTTACTGACTTAGGTAATGTATTGAATACTTATTTACCAAGATAAAGAAAAACGCACTTAAAACTAATTAAAAGTCTCTCTCGTCATCAAGTCAAAGTTGTATTAATCTGTGTTAATCAGTAACTTACTGCCGAGCCTATGAATAAATTCCAAAACATCCAGTTCATTTCATCTTGAAATGGTGCTTTGTTTCTCTCCACAAACAATTGGACTGCTGTAGTTTAAAACAAACTTAAACCACTTTCTTGCACTGCTAACTTTTTTCTACTTTTGTAAATTGAAACAGTTCAGCATAAAAGTCATACATATGAAGCAAGGGCTGAATCATAGTCACAAGGCTTAAATTTTGATAAACTAATCCAGTGACTAAGGATATACACAGAAGTTGACTGAGAAGGTAGTGTTGGGAGTTATGATAGGTAATGGTTTTGGGTTTTTTCTTCCCCTTACACTTCAGGAAAAAGGTAAGTTGACTTGAACAACCTTCTTTTGCACTGGGAAAGTGAACAGATGTTTGAAATGCTTTTAAAATATTTTTTTTAATTAAAAAACTCTGGAAAAGATTAAATATCTGTAACTTATAAACACCAACTTTTGATGTAATGTGTACCCTGATCTTATGTATGTTTAACTGGATTACATAGATTCTTATCTTTTGTTAAAATATGTATACTCAGTGGACCAATATAATATTAAAGTATGTATATATTATATAAATATAAATATATATCTCTATCACTATGCTCACTTGTGTAGGATGAATGTCTTAGAGCTGTTTGTGATTATATTTTACATTGTTGACTCTGGCTCCAGAGCCTGTGCTTGGAAAGGACCGACGAGTATTCCTGAGAGCCAAGTACCAATTTTTACAAAGTGTTAACCATCTTCTACATCCTTGGTCAGGTTTCTCTCTTTATAGAATTTTCTTTTATGTTTCAAACTTCTAAATTGTAGCCTGTAACTATGAGAACAATAAACTTAAAGTAATCATAAAACATACTGTCCATACATCCTATTTGAAATGGAGTTTTTGCATGGTTCTCTGTTATGTCCATGCTGCGCCCTAGGGTGGGTATACAATCAGGTATAAGTGTAAAGTGCTTGAGACACTAACTGGTGTCAAATATATACCTAATAAATGTTAACTGTTATTTTTAGTTATCAAGCTCTGTTTTTTTTTCTTTTCCATCCTCACCTGAGGACATTTTCTTTTCATTGCTTTTGGAGAGGAAGGAAGAGAGAGAAGCATCTATTGGTTGCCTCCCACACACACCCGGACGGGGGATTATATGCTCCCAGACTGGGGATTGGGGATGGAGGATCAAACCCACAACCTAAGTATGTGCCCTGACAAGGAATCAAACCTGCAACCTTTCGGTCATGGGCTGATGCTCCAACCAGCTGAGCTACGCTGGCCAGGTCAAGTTCTGTTTTTTGAAAGATAGGAAATGTGTATGCATAGAGACAGTGCCTAATACATAGATGGCTTTGCATATATTTGTTGAATGAGGTTTATGACACAGGCTCTAGAAGGGCAATGTGGTGTAAAAAATTCATACAGTCCTGGGGTTGAGTCCCTGGTCTGTCATTTTTGAGAAAGATAACTGAGAAAGTTATTTAGCCTCCCTGAGCATTATTTTCCTCATCTAATGAACAATAAAATATCTAACTCACAGATTTGTTCTGAAGGATTTGATTTTGACAACTTTTTAACAATAAAAGTGGACGCACGCAGATTGAATCTTTGTGTTTGAGGGTCAGCTGTATTTTCTATCTGCACTTAGGAATTGCATATGAGGAAGGGTGATGTAAGTTTTACGTGGATTTTCGACTGTGCAGTGAGTGAGCTGGTGCCCCGCTGCGCCCATATTGTTTAAAGGTCAACTGTATTTTAATTTTAAAAATTAAGACATATTATTAATAGTGAAAAACAGCTGTTGGTTGTCGAATGCATATTATGTGTGAAACACTATACTAAGAACTTTATTTGTGAGGTTTTTTTGTTTGTTTAATCTTCACAAGAGCCCTAAATAGTACAATCAATTACTCTCTATTTTAGAAATGGGGAAACAGGCTCAAAAAAAAGTTAAAATACTGTGCTTTACATTATACAGCTAGTAAATTGATGATCCAGGAATTGACCTCTGGTCTCTCTGATTCTAAAACATGATACTTTCTCCATTTTACCATGCTTTGTCTCATTTTGTATGAAAAAATAAATTACTTATAGGAAATGCTAGGAACAAAACATGATAAATAACAAGTGAGATGTATTAAATTCCAGACAGGATCTTTAATGCTTTGCATATATTAATTCATTTAATCCTCACAACAACATTGGCCCTGTAATCTATAGATATTATTATTGTCTCCATTTCACAGAAGAGGTGCCCTAACTAGGCCACAGTTGTTCACCTGGTAAGTGGCAGAGCTGGAATTTGAACCCAGGATACTGGCTCCAGAGTTTTAACTACTACTTGTATTCCATTAAAGCCAAAGGAGAAATATAAATAGAATAATCCATGTAACCTCTATTCTTGGGGATTAATAAAATAGACCTATTACACATAGCATGTTGGCATCTCATAAAGCATTTTCCTGTTCATTTTTCTATTTAATCCTTCCCAGGATTTGGGATAGTTTCTAACATGAAAGCACTCAACCATTGTTAGTTATTACTGTTACCATAAACGATAAGTAAGTGTATAGGGGAGATAGCCAACCTTGCTTCTATTAAAGAAATATTTTAAAATCATGAGGGTAGCAAAAATAAAAACTCAGTGCTGCCAGAGCTCAGGACAGCGCACATAAAGAGGTGGGGGAAGGCTTTTGCTCTGCATTCGTGCACTTTGGTTTCAGTCAAGATTCCAAAGGATTTGGGGAGAGAAGAGGAGCTCACCTACCTTTTTGCCAGTTGACAATGCTTTTGGGTCTTTTACTTGACAGAGAGTTGGTAAAGTGATGATACTATTTTTTGGAAGATAGTAACTGCCCTTTAGAGAGAAAAAAGGAACAAGAGGACAGAACTGCAAATTCTCAGGCGTAGCCCAAATCTGTATTAAGAACTGGTAGAGTAATAGAGTGTTCCATTGGCCAGGTGGTCCATTGACATTTATGAAGAATCACAGAAGGCACTGAGTATGGGCAGGTCTATTAAGACAGCATGGCTCTTGGACCTGGGAGGCCCAGAAGCCCTTTTACAATACCTGAGGTGAAAAATTGAAACTAAGGTGTTACTTGGCCTTTTTCATCCTCAGAGTTGGTTTTCTAACTACATAGCCAAATGGAACAGAAGTAGAAGCCCATGAGAACCTAGATGCCTTTTATTAAAATTCCATTTCTAATGTATTTCTAAAGTTCTAAAGTATTTATGAATTACAATAAAGGTGACTATGTACCAAAAAAAAAAAAATACATAAAAAGGTAAGCACAGAGTAGATTTTGAAGAGTTTGCCTTACAGATGAAGGGGTGGGGTATTCTACGCAGAGGGCATGGTTGTGGATAAGGAAAAATGGGTAGGACAGGGGTTGTGTGCTAGCAAGCAGCAAGAATTGAAGTAGTGTGTGGGCAAAAGGACACAGTTTTCATGTTCATATATGGAACACTACCTTCATATACTTCATATACGGAAGATCTCATTGGTAGTGATTTGGAGAATTGCCTTAGGAGGAAACCAGGTAAGGCAGGGAGAGCAGGTGAAGGCTTTTGCATTCATTCAGGTGAGAGGGTAAGGACCTCAGTGTGGCTGTGGCTGAGGCCTGAAGAGGGGCCAATTTAGGAGAACTACCAGCCCTTTAAGTATGATTAGACAAGGTGGTGAACGGAAAGAAGTAGTTTGCAAACTTTAGCAGACGTCAGGATCACCTGGCGGGCTTGTTGAAGTAGATTGTGGGTCCCATCCCCCGAGTTTCTGATTTCAGTAGGAATAGAGTGAGACAGAAATATGTGAATTTCCAACTAGTTCTCAGATGATGCTGCAGTTGCTAGCCAGGGATCTCAGTTTGAGAACCACTGGAGTAGAGGCTAACTTCCATGTCTGTTGTTGTCTTGTGAGTTTTACTAAATCTACTCCTTTAGTTTGCAGTGCTGTTGAACTTTGTTGTTTTAGACTTGACCTGTGGATTCTGCCTGATAGTGCAAAGAACCTCTCATTTTTTGTGTGTGTGAATAGAGTTTTAAAAAATAATTGCAAGCCGAAAGACAGCTTGAGTGCCTTATTGTGTGCCAGTACTATTTGAAACACTTGTATATAGTCATTTTAATCTCTATAACAATCCTTTAAGTTAGGTATTGTTATTACCAGTTTACAAATGAGAAAGCTGAGGTATAAAAAGGTTAAATTTCCCCAAGATCATAGAGCTAAAAAGTGCCAGAGCTAGGATTCAAACCCAGGCAGCTGGCTCCAGAACCTACGCTCAATCGCTCTGCTTGGCTGGGGAAAAAAAAAACAACCAAAAAACTTACGTCAAAATGCTTCTGGTACGAGGATTTGCAGTGTACCTGTTCCTCTCAGAAAGCTCTATTTGTGAGCACAGTGAGAAAATCATTGCTATTCCCATTCACCCTGGCTAAGGTGTATATGCTCCGGGCATTGTGCTGGGCCAGGCACAAGAGAAGACTCATTTAACAGCCTTGCCAACAATGGTGGCGTGGTGTGAGAGCTAGCCACCTGCCTACAGCTAGGTTCAAACAACATTGCTTACTAAGGATTATGATAGGAATGCTGGGACACTCAGAGGAAGGAGAGAATAGTTCTTGCCTAAAGGATTGGGGAAGGCTCCCCAGAGGGTATGTTTCCAGGACACATTATTCTGCTCCTAGCATTGGTAAAAACGTAGGGGGTGACTGTCGAAATGTACCTCTCACAGGCCACCATTTGATGTCAGGGCCCTGCCGACTGCAAAAGGCAGATGGGCTCCCAGGAGGCCTCGTTTAGGTGTTCAGTCATTCAGTGAATCAATCCAGCTGGGCTCAAGGCCTGACCTTCAGGTTTAGAAACCTGATTTTCATGCGTTAAATATAGGTCCTGTTAATCAAGTTCACAGGGACTGATGTACAAGAAAGTCAGACCAGAAAGTCAGTTTCCAGTAAAAGTTGTTGCCACAGGGCTTGGAGCGCCCACAATTGACTGAACAAGACAGGCCTGTGTCCCCGCCCCCCTCCAGCCAGTGCCCGGAT